ACTTTCTTGTACATTGTTTCTTTTTTTTCTGGTCTGTCCATATTATTTAGATATGATTATGGAAATGTGCTTTATCAAATACAGCCTTCCCAAAACTGTTTTTTCTGTAATGAGAGACTTAGATGGGCCCACTTACTTTTACTTACAGATTCTATTGTTCATTTTGGGTGTCCTGGCCATGATAATTGCTGTCAGACTTTTTCATTATGAGTTTTTACATTCTAAGCATACGTTGTAACATTGACTGTATATTACAATTAGAGCCAGCCTCAAAATATTGAATGTTATAGGATTATGCTGTATACATGGATCTATCATTGGTCCTTCTTACACTAGTGCTTTCATAGTGCTGCCTTGGCCAAAATGAAAATGTGATCACAATTCTACAGACTAACTTTGCCCACAGGAAACTTAAAGTGACACTAAACTCAGAAATTAAACCTTAAAAATGCATTCAAGTACCCTAGCTGTTAACAAACATGTATCTTATTTGTTTATCACTCAGCTGTAGATCTCCAAATCGTCTCTGAATTCATCACAGGAGTGAGCTTGGAGCAGTGGCTACTTTTACAACATGGGACCATGGGGAACAACAGTAGCCACCCTCCAGAAGAAAGGACAGTGTTGGCACCAATTCAGAGATGGTTTGAAGATCTGCAGCCGAGTTATACACAAGCTGCATTTTTGTTAATAGTTAAGATACTTGAAAGCATTTTTAAGATTTAATTCCGGGGTTTAGTGACACTTTAATGCTTATGTAAAACAAAAATGAAATATATTGAAATATATTGCAGCTTGGTGTGTGTATGTTTATTATGTTTTTTTAGTCCAAGTCCAATAATGGCTGTTTACAGTTACTGCAAGGAACCTACTTTATAATTTAGGCAGTGGTGAAGCTTATTTAATCATCATGTAAATTGCAGTAACCCTCAGCAACCAATCAAATTATTTAAATAATGATTACAGATCAGAAAACTAAAATCTGTGTGTTACTGTACTTTGCACTTAAATGAGCACAGTAGCTTCATCAAATTGTAATGTTTAGATCAGAAGCATTTTTTTTTACACCTGAGCTGTACTTTATCTGTTGATTTGTTCATTTTTTGAAACGGTTTACTGTAAAAGGCAAGTGGGAATTTTAACTGATTAGTCTGGCTTGCACTTCACATTGCTGCAGTTTTAAACATATTTGTAACATTAGACTAACTGGTTTTGTTGAACTGAGGAGTTCCCTGTATTCCCAGGTGATCATTGGCCCAGTTTACATATTGTTTTTGTTAAATATTTCCTGGCTTACATAGTGGTCTCTGCACTGGAATCTGACTGCTCTAGCTGTTACGGTGTCTCAGACCTTTCATTAATACACTGGAACATGTACAGTGCTAGGCCAAAAGTTGTCTACTGATTTCTCACATTTTTAGATGCATGTCTAATCCGCTTAACTTAATGCATTGCCTATGTGATTGTTCAAGTAGAATCAGATTTCCATTTAGTGCCTTCCTTGATGAAGTGCATATGTGGTTTACGGTTTTTACAAATATTTCTTGCTGTATTTCTGGGCCACCTACTTCATTTAATTCTGACATAGGGGAAATGCCCAGAGGAAATCCTGAAATTCAAGGGCACGGTTTATTCTGATATAAACTGAGCTGCCTTTGAAAATTCTTTGGACTGCTAGGGAATTGTGTACACAGATGGAAGTTTATTTCACGGATAGCTAAACTTATTTAGGAAAGATCCTTTTGGGTTAGTCCTGAGCTTTCAGTTCTTACAGCAACGTCAGGGTTATAAAAAGCATGGACTCATTTGTTAAACAATATTGCAGCACTCCAGTCAAAACTGAAGCATTGAGGTTCATACAGAAAACACAGATTATGCCTGAAAAATAAACGGAAATACTGAGCAGGTGCACTAGTCCACCATAGTCCCCTTTGCCATTAATATGGCAAGTTTCTTTTGAATACTGAAAGCTTATGAAAGTGATGGTACTAGCACGTTTTCTAAAGCTACCAGTCAGATTCAGATCTGCCTTGGAATATTGGTCAAGCAGAGATGGGGGAAATTAATGCAGCAGAAGCTACAGGAAGCAGATCCTCCAGTGCCTTAGGCCTTCGCCTTTGTGCGGGAACTTTGTGAAATGTGTGTGCAGTGGGTCACAGACTTTTGAATATAGTGAATTGTCTGCCTTTAGCATGGTTTCAGTGTTTTCTGGATAGCACTAGCTGTTTGATGTCACTTGTCCAATTGTTTAACAGCACTGAGACCTGGCAATTGCCTAAACACGCTTTTGGGATATATCTGGGACAATAAAACTGATATCTTTTAAGTTATGGGTTTTAGTGAACAAGTGCTCCCATCATTCTAATTTATTTGGACATTTCCTATTCTGGTAAGCTCACACGGGACAGTTATTTGTAATTACAAAAAAAAGGATGAACGTACCTTTAATTACTTCTTACTACTGGTCAGATGATATACTCCTAATACAATTTTAACTTTTTCTTTAGGGAAAATATTCAGTTTACTGTGGCCTCCATGCCCCTACTATTCAGACGCCTGTGCACGAGCTTAGGCCTCATATGTTAGAAGGGTTTTTCAGCGGGTCAGACACTATACTGCTTATTAGCTATTCTGTGTATCTGCAGATCTAAATATCTGCAGCGCTATTTTTGTTATAACATATTAGTTACTCTGTTAGATAAGCCGGCTAATGTAATAACTGACTTTATTTAGAATTTCACAGTTCCTATTTTTATAGCTAAACTTCAGGAATTAGCCAAAATCTACCCTTGCAGTGAGGCCTCCATGCACTGCAAGGGTTAATTGCCAATTGAGGCTAGGGGGAGGTAAAGAGGATGTTATATTTACCTTACGCCTCACTTTGGCAGATTCCAGCGTGCTCCTCTTTCCCCTCACGCTTTGGGCTCTGGGTGGGCTCTCTGTATTCATGTACAATACAGGTCTTTTATTGCACGTCGAGGGGGCAAGCATGCAACCACAGCTGGGAGCACCTTGGAGAAGGTTTTTTCTGGAATGGTCGCACGGATTCAAGAAGTCTGTCATAGTGGGGAATAAGATGAGTATTACTCCTTAAAAGAGAAGGCCAAACTATACATTAGTAAAGGTACTTCTGTGACCCAAAGTCAGCAGATAGCAGGTTAATGCCCGCTATCAGCTGAAGGGGCGCAGCTGCGCCACAGTCGATTAGGATCCTGGCAGTATTGTCAGGATCTACCCTAGCTGCCTGCTGACAGCTGGCTTTGCCTCCCTGCATGCAGCTGTCCCAGAGCCAGCAATGCTTACCCTATTCTGTGTCTGTAGCAGCAGACAATGCTGGAGAAGATGAGAGAGGAGTGGGAAATCCCTTATGGGGAGCATTGACCGGCAGGTACACAGAGCTGACCGATCAGCAGGCACAAAACTGGTCAGTTCTCTCGGTCTTAGAGATGGCGTGGGACAGGACGTCGGTCTTAAAGGGGTTCTAAACCCTCCGTTTTTTTTAGCCTATATCTACTGCTAGCAAGCAGTAGATATAGGCAAGAAGTTTTAAAAAAAAACGTTTGGACTGGTTTTAAACTTACCTCGTTATCACTGCTCGCTCCCGCGCCGAGAATCAGGAAGTGATCGTACGGCCGCAAGGGATCTTGGGGCGGGCGCATGCGCAGTTCCGATTCTCGGCCGGGAGACGAGCAGAGACGCAAGGTAAGTCTATGGACGCGTGCACCCGCCTGCAGACACCGCTGGATCGGAGAGACAGAGCAGTCAGCACTGGATCGGAGGGACACATCAAAACATGGGGAAAGAAGAGGAAGATCAGAATAAGAGACATCATTTGAGGTAAGTGCTAACATTTAATGTCACTTTAAGTATTGGGGGAGTATGTTTTACTCTCCCCATACTTTTCCTTTAATTCTGAACTTCTAGACTTAAGCAGTTAACCCTTGTAGTGTCGGGGAGCCCCCACTGCTAGGGTAGAGTTTGTCTAATTCCCAGAGTTTATCTTTAACCAGTTGACATCTTCCCATTAGGGAGATTCACCCTCTCTATCTGTCCGGGTTATGGCTGAAAGTAAATCCCATTTTGTTGTGACAATGTTGTGACAATGTTGTGTTGTCACCAGAACAGGAATCAATGGGGGGGCTGGCGAAAAAACGAGCACATATAGACGATCGGCGGGATATGGAGCCGCCGATCGTCTATATGTGAAACACCCGGTAACGGGTGTTTGCATTGGTCGGGTCTTTTCTGCCCGTGCGTGCACGCAAGGGGGCGCGCGCGAGCAGAAAAAAAATGCCTTCTGGCAACAGCAACCCGCCAATGCTGCAGTGCCGTCCGTCCGTTTTTTTACAACGGGCGGACGGCAAGTGGTTAAACTAGTTTCCTGCTTTTCCATTATACCAGGTTTTTTGTTTTTTTTTAAATCCCAGTGTTTGGTGTTATATTCTAATTGATCCAAGGTTTATGAACCATAAGCATATGTTACTTATAAAGCAAAATCAATATAAATCAAAATTATCAAATTAAATATAACCTTTCTGGTCATATGTTTGGGTCTTATGGAATTATTTCCTAATCATGGAAAATACTTACACCACAGTATGAAATAAGATACCGTATAAGATAGAATGTGCATGACATGACAATTGTGTTTTTAATGTCAAATTTGGCTAAAAACCTGCTGGAAAGCTGAATAGCATAAACTGTACCTTTTAGGAACAATGCAGGAAGCCATGAATTAGCATACTAATTCATAACATTTGAGAATTGGAATGTTCAATCTGAATAAACATGTACAGATATTATATAATGTGCCTTTAGGACTTTAAGTGCATATTCTATTTACCTTAAGTTTTTGTTCCCTCCTGATCTGTTCCTGCTATGCTTTGCATCAGCCACACAATTGATCTACTGTCTGCTCATGTTGAATTAATGGCATGTTTCTAAAGCCTGCTGTTAAGCAAAATATTAAAATGGATATCTACTTTCTTTTCCATCCCCAGAATTCTGTACTGCCTGTGCCTGGAATCTGTGTGAATCCCAAGAATGCTTACTACTTCATTTTTTCTCTCAGCCAACTGGACCCACTGAGAAACCGCAGCAGCTTTACATTCACATCCAATCTTTCCAAGAACTGAAACGTTAAACATGAAGCTACTGCGACAAAGGATAACTGGTTTACTTATAGATCACTACTTGAAGTATAAGACTTACCTCCCAGAGAAAGCCAGCAAGGTTTATTCTTCATGGACTTTACTCTTGAAATGACATGTTACATGCTTGATGCTGCCATTTTATACTATCACGTCATTGTACTTAATGGCTTATAAATCTGTATTCATAAGTTTAATATAGGTAATCTGTTTTGCAGTAAAAAAGATGTGTGTGTGTTTTTATTGGCTGTTACAAAGCAAACATTTGAAACCACAGGTACATATGCGAAGATATACAGCATGATAACATCATTGTACATGACCAGGGAAAGTCTTGTGAGGAACCCTTATTTTAGTGCATGTCATGCCAAAACCCTTTTCCCCATTTTTGTATACAGAGGAAGATTAGAACTGTCATTTCTTTACCGCTCTCTGAGGCTACACTGGAAATATTTACCCTCACTTCCTGTCCTGCTGGTAATGGTTTTACCATACAGGAAGAAAAGAAAAATCTGCAACAGGGACCCAGACAAAATAACAAATCTGATAAGGTCCTAGCCCTCCTCTACTCTACTTAGGAGAATATTTTTTATTTCTGTATGTGTTACTGCTGGGGAATTCCCCTAACTTCTTGTCTGGTGAGAGATTGTCAGCAGGCCAGGAACTCTGCCTAACAAAGCCCTGGATAGCCGTAAACACCTAACAAGTATTGTAACTCTTATCCATTCTGTCCAAAACTAGAAATACCGTTTTGTCAGAGTATATACTTAAATCAGAAAGAAGTGCACTATATATGTCACTCTGCTTCACTTTTTGTGTCATTGGTACACAATATGTGCTTACAGCTCTTTTCCTAGGAATGCTTGGAGGTTTACATACAGCTGTGGCTCATATAGTTCTACTACAGAATGAGACATATTAAGATCCTGTGTATTTTGTTTACTCGTGTAACTTTGGAATCAATTTAAAAACAGCTTTTGCATTAGGATAGATAAATGATCACTTAATTATGCCTACTGTGATATGTGATGACATAAAATTGTTGTGCCCAACACTAGACCTAACACATGTCTGTGCAACTAAAGTATTCTAACTATCCTCACTATCATACTTTAAAATTTCCCATCGTTAAGCAGAAAATGTGGCAGCTTGGGCACCATCTAACCTCCTGTAACTGTCTGCACTACCTATGTTTTAGGTGGTAAGCTGGTGTCTTATCTGCAATCACAATTTTGGGCTCCCTTACTATTTTACAGTACTCGGCAATGTTAAATGGCTTCTGACTGTTCTTGACCTATTAGTTTGAGATAAGTTTGCTAGATATGAAACTCTACCTGCAATGAGAATCCTAGTGCCTTCTATGTAGGACTCCCATATCATTTCATAGTGTCATCAGTGTTCGATCGCCCCCCAAACTGTGACTCAAATGATAGAGACAGAATTTCAACCAAAAATCCAGAAAAAACACATGATACAAATGTTATAAATTGAGTTGCAGTTCAGTGAGTAAAATAAGTATTTGATCCCCAAGCAAAACATGACTTAGTACTTGTTGGAGAAACCCTTGTTGGGTAAGCATAGAGGTAAGACATTTCTTGTAGTTGGTTACCAGATTTGCACACATCTCAGGAGGGATTTTGGTCCACTCTTCTTTACAGATCTCCTCTAAATCCTTGGGGTTTCTTGGCTGTCGCTTGGCAACTTGAAGTTTCAGCTCCTTCCATAAATCTTCTATAGGATTAAGGTCTGGAGATGGCTAGGCCACTTCATGACCTTAATGTGCTTCTTCTTGAGCCACTGCTTTGTTGCCTTAGCGGTATGTTTTGGGTCATTGTCATGCTGAAAGACCCATCCACGACCCAGCTTCAGTGCTCTGTAAAATCTTGAATGAGAACCTCCTTCCCTCAGCCAATGTATGGCTCCGTCCATTGGCCCATCAATGCGGCAAAGTCCTACCTTTAGCATAGAAACGATCCCAAAGCATAATGTTTCCACCTCCGTGCTTTACTGTAGGGATGGTGTTCTTAGGGTCATGGTCAGCATTTTTCTTCCTCCAAACACGGCGAGTCAAGTTAATGCCAAAGAGCTCAATCTTCTCTGAATCATTTTGATGTTCATTGGCAAGCTTCAGACAGGCCTGTACATGTGCCTTCTTGAGGAGGGGGACCTTGCAGGCTGCAGGATCTCAATCCATGGCGGTGTGTTATACCAATGGTTTGTTTGGTGACTGTGGTCCCAACTGCCTTGAGATCATTTACAAGTTCCTCCCGTGTAGTTCTGGGCTGATTCCTCACTTTTCTCATGACCATCCATACCCCATGAGGTGAAACCTTGCATGGAGCTCCAGACCGAGGGCAATTTGGTTATTTTGTATTCCTTCCATTTGCGAATTATCGCTCCAACAGTTGTTTCCTTGTCACCAAGCTTCTTGCTGATAGTTTTGTAGCCCATTCCAGTCTTGTGTAGGTCTACAATCTTGTCCCTAACATCCTCTGACAGCTCTTTGGTCTTGCCCATGGTGGTGAGGTTTGAATAGAAGAAAGATTATGTCGACAGGTGTCTTTCATATACATAGAGTTGTCGTTAGGAGCACTGTCTTAAATTGACAGGACTAATCTGTGTACCACATAGCCAGTCTGTGAGAGCCAAAATTATTGTTGGTTGGTTGGTTGGGGATCAAATACTTGTTATAAATGGACTTGCAGTTCAGTGAGTAAAATATTTGTATCGTGTTTTTTCTGGATTTTTGGTTGATATTCTGTCTCTCTCATTTACAAAATCTGCAGGAAATGGCATTATTTTCCTCAGTGTGGAGAGAAAGAGAGAGAGAGCTCTTATTTATTGGCCACTTAAAAGTGAAGGTAGGGTGTCGGGGGGCCTCCACTATGCAAATGTACCAAGCAATACATGTTTCTATTAAACATTTTGGTTATTACTGTGTATATCATAGAAGTTATGTTTCACTGAAATGAAACATAACTGAGGCTGCCTACTATAGTTTTGGTGCATCCAGCATTAAACAAACTGTCTTTGTTTGGACACTTTCACACATATATTTAAGCATTAGACACTTGGCTCTAGGCTTAATGTCAGACATTGTTTATATCATTACAGGGCCTGCATTCACTAGTTATATGTGCCATGTTATTTACAACATATTTATGAGTTATGCACACACTTGTATGTGCAAAAGGAGGTTAAAATTGATGTAGGCACAGTACTGACAAGTCCTACTTTGTATGGGTAATGTGTTAGTGTAGCATCCAGGATAAATAGCCTTGAAGTTTAAAATGGAGTGACAATATTTGCCCAGCCTTTATTGTGGTAACTCCAGTATATCAGCAAACTGTACACTACTGGACTTTTATTACTTATGACATAATGGGTTTCTGACACCGTTCCTTTAGGTCATTACCGCTGGGTATAATTCCACCTGCAGTTTAACTAGACTTAATGCTACCTATTACCATCAGGGAAATAAGGCTGGTAAGTTATTAGCTAATACAATTAAATATCAAAAAACTAAATCCAGAATAGCCTGCATAGTACACCCACGTACTCGGCAGACACTATACAACCCTGGAGATATAGCAGAGGCTTTCCAATCTTACTACTCTTCACTTTATAACCTGAAAGAGGACTCTAATACTGCCCAACCAAACTTAGTCGCAATTGAGAGATTCTTACAATCTTTAAACCTTCCTAAACTAGAGCCGGAGGTCCTGCATGGTTTGAATGCCCCATTTTCAATAGAAGAGATAAAGCAAACGATCACTAAATTACCGCTGAATAAATCCCCAGGGGTAGATGGTTTTTCCAGTGAGTACTACAAGTCCTATCAGGAGATACTGCTCCCTCACTTACAATCGATCTTCAGCTCTGCTGCGTCCTCCTCCTTTTTCCCTCCAGAAATGTCACGATCTGTTATTGTTACGTTACCCAAGCCAGGTAAGGGGCCGGCTCATACTGAAAATTACAGGCCTATATCCCTCATTAACACGGATATCAAATTATATGCTAAACTTATTGCAGAGAGACTGCTGCCTATTACTCCTTCCTTAATTGGACCAGACCAGGGGGGTTTCGTTAGAGGTCGCCAGGCTCCTGACGGGACCCTTTAGCCTAGCATCTAGGAGTTAGGACTTTGAAAGTTCTTTATGGAAATACTAGATCCTTCCTAGTACTTCAAGTAAGTTGCCGGCTGGGTTACAGGCCAACAAACCCGTGCAGTTCCTTGCCGCATGCAAATTCAGATGCAACGGCCCAGTTTTGTTGTGGGTTTATCTCTAAGGAACATATGTGACTGGTTAGTCGCATGGTCTCTCTCAATGTTAACCCTTTAACCTCCCTGGCGGTAACCCCGAGCCAGACTCGGGGTGAATTTTCCACACCAAGAGCGGTAACCCCGAGCCAGACTCGGGGCTGCAGAGAAAAGTGACACTCACCTTGTCACTACGGCCTGCGGTGTCCTCTGCTGTACGCGGCCCGAAAACGAAACTAAAAGTCAGATGCCGGCATCTAACTTTTAGTTTCGTTTTCGGCCGTCACAGCCGGCGTTACTAAGAATTGCAGGCCTACAATACATAACACCAAATTTCCATGCAAAAAATTGTACTGCTTTTGGTACAAAATTCCTGACATAATCATACCGTTAGGGAGGTTAAAGGCCAGCAGCACCTTGGCTTTTGCAGGGCAGATGGCTAGGACTGCTGTTTGCTGAAGGGAGCTAAGTAGTAAGTTTTCTGCTCCCCCCCCCCCCATGTCCCCCCCCCCCCATTTTTTATTTCAGGTTGTCTGGGAACCCATGCCAAAAGGGAATTAGTGGATATATGAGGCTGCAAGGTTCCGGGGGGTGGGGGGGCTATGACTGGAGAATTGTGGCTCCTTTTGTATTGGGCCACATTGCCCCTTTAGCATCAGAGCTAGCAATGAGGTTGTTGTGACCTCTCGAGGGCAAAATTTCTAAAGCCAACAGTCAGATGAAGGCACTCTGCCCTGGATATTGTGGTTGCCGTAGGGCACTTTGACCTGTGGCTGTGGAATTGTCAAGTCCTG